AAGGGGAATCTTACCCAGTGCAAAGGCAGACGCATCCTTTTAAGGTGCGGGTGAGGGCTAACGGCCGTCGCATTCTCACTTTTCTTAAAAATTCGCGACCCCACCACCACTACCATCAGCTGTGGGGTACTCTCCCAATACTTCCTCAATACTACAATCACTCCCCTCACCGTCGTGGCAGTTTCCATAGTTGATTCTGAGACCAGTCAACACGCCCACGTCTTCCTTCCAAACAGGTCAAGCAGGGGATTGGGGGTGGGGAGGGGGGTGGATGCGGGGAGGATAAATTGTTATCATGAGGAATTCCACCAATTTTTGGCCTTTAGGCCGATGTCAGACTTTGCGAATCGCGATTCGCTAGCGTCTGCGGTCGCGTCGCGGCCAGTGAATCACTCAATTGGCTGGTACCGCAACGCGACCGCGGACGCTAGCGAATCGCGCGATTCGCAAAGTCTGACATCGGCCTTAGCCTACTTTCATGAAACCTTCGTCAAATTCTCGAAAACACGTCAAACGCATCAAAAAACGCATCGAGCCGCACTGGGAGAGAGGGGTGCTATATACGCACATTGAAACGGCAAATTTTCTCCTGCACGCTAACCTTAATGTAATTTCATGCAACAAACTAGGACGCCCCCCCCCCGTTGATACTTGTCCCAACGTACGGTTGACCCTGCTTCTGCCAGATGTAGTTAACCTTGCTCAACTGCAAAATACGACACCCCGACCTCAAACTCGCAAGTGCGACCACCTCGATGGAATAGTGCGAAGGGACGGTTGATCCGTGCAAACCGGTACGCAATTTGCAGAGAAGGTTGTGGTCCCGGCGATCTAGCATGGCCCTCCTTGCGGCGCTATCGGTGCGGCACGCCTACCGACTGGCTATCTCCTGGTTGACGGACTACTTGAACTCAGCCCTTTACCGCCTCTGCGCTCTCTAGCGGGTCCCTCTCCTCTCCAAGGCTTAGTCCTAGGGCATTCTCTAATCGTCTGTGCTCTAGCCATCGCGGCAGGACCATTGAGGAAAAATCAAGTAGTCCGTAAACCCCGGTAACAGCCGTACTAATGCGCAAATGAACTTGCAAGGAAAGGGTCTGGTTTCTATGGTTCTGCGTCGCTTCTCATGGGATTTTTCTTCGCCCAAGCACCGATGACCACCCGTCTTGATTCTAATGGGACGCCTTTAATCGTGAACACCGCCTTCAACCTGAGCGCTTTCGATTAGGATTCCTTTCCTTTTTCTTTCACTGCCCTCCCGTTTTTCACGAATGCTTTAATATCCATGTGCGAGAACCAAGCCAGATTTGGGACATGCCTTCAAGGCGGAATTGTGTTTTGGTCTCAAACCAGAGCAAAAGCGGTGATATTCTGTGAATTGGAGGCCGATGAACAGCAGCGTTTGTGAGACCTTGGTTTGAGTGGGATAATGTCAGCCGAGTGATTTCGAGCACAATTTGGATGCTTCACTCAGAGTAGTATGCATAGAAACGCCGCACATCAAGTGATTACCAACGTGCTTTGCCCCACCCTCCTATTTCCTTTTCAGACGCACCCTTCAATTTATATGCACTGTAATCCTTCAGAGCTTAATCTTAACGATTTCCATGGCTCTTGCAAAAAACTTTTGTCTTTAGGTCCGGTGGTCTCGCTTCTAGACATGCAATCCCTTTTTGGGATGCTGCCACAGCCCACTCTCTACTTCCATTGGTACCTCCGTAGATGTGCCGTGAACCAAGTAAGGCGTTTCGGAGATTGCTCGATCGTAGGCTCTACCGGTGTTATATACACAATCGGAACCAAAAACAGATGACTTGCTGGGGTTTCCTATAGTCGAAGAAGGGGTGCCCGCAGACGCAGATGTGCAAGCCGTGTTTTCTTGCATCTACATCTGTCCTCGACTATAAGGTCTGCTTCGATAACCTACATTTAACCAGAGTTCGCCTCTATCCATGAAGTCAGGGGCACTTTGCTTGGGAAGGCTCATGATTTGTCGGAATCCCGGGCGTGGAATCACTATGCCCACGGCACTCGTTGTTCATTCGGCCTCTCTGAGCCTCAGTCAAGATAAGTACAAGGCAGGAAAATCGGCAGACTTGTTTCTCGCCATTTTTTTGCCACTTTTGCCGATTATTAGCAAAATTGTTCAATCTACTTCTCTGTCACCCTCCTCCGTCCCATTTCTGCTACCTTTTTTACGAAAAAAAGTTCGAGATGAGTTGGAGCTAGGTTTTTCGTGAAAGTTGGAGCTAGCCAGAGTTTCGTCCCTCACGGCAAGTCCTAAAGCTTCTAAAACAACGGTCAAAACTTTTCGACGAGCCAGTTCTTCATGCGCTAATTCTTCTTACCTGGACCGTTCGCAACAAAAATATGTATGGTGTTTTCTAGTGCTTTTGAATCCTTGTGCTTCGAAGATTTGAGATATTCGAAAAAAGGTATTTAGCTCCTCCTCCCCTCCCCTCCCCCAACCCCCAACACCACTCCGGCTCTTCAAGTGGTTCTTAACAGAAAGGAAAAAGTGCCTGAAAATCCGTTCTTTGACCGCTACTGTAGGTCAGAGCCACAATCACTGAGGTTTTTCTTCAACCAAATTTGAGTTGACGAAGATTTCTTCTGCTCAGAAGCTGGCGTAGATGAATTGAGGGTATAAGATGATTCTTTTCATGGGAAGAAAACTTCCCAAATTCCATTTGAAACCCGGCAGCCACCGGTGGGTGCATTGTCACGGATGGGTTGAGATACCTCTGAAAGATTCTGCATCATCGAGTAAAGCGTCTTTGGAATAAAAACGGAATTAAGACTGGTGATTTTCGAAGTTACTGGACTGGGCTGTCTGATAACCAGTGCACTGCCTTGTAGACAATGAAGGTGTCCCCTTCGTGCAAAGCTGAAAGCAACGGCACCAATTCGAAGCTACTCAGCGCGCACAATCCCGTGACACGGAGCAACTCTGGCACCGCTGAATGCTCACACTTCCACACAAAGGCAGGTTTTCGAGCAGAGAACCTTTACGAGCTTTTGCTCGGATGTCACTATCAAATAGGCATCAGCCAACACTTTTCACCCCGCAATGATGACATCATTCAGATTTCTCAATCTTAAAATCACTGTACCAATGCTGAATCGTCGGGTGGGACACCAATATGCAAAATGAGCCAACACCCAATACCCTAGTCCCCCTTAGGGGAGGGCCAGGACAGGGGCGTTCAAGCAGTTCTAGCTGCTATCGCAAGATGCGGGGGCGTTGTGGTGGCAATGAATTTGAAACCGCGTAGAATAGTCCTCTCTGTTAAAAACGGGACTAAGCTTCAGATTTTCATTTTCCCTGGAGCACCTTCTCCCTCCTGGATTGGTCCTAGGAATGCCCCGTATATTGCTATAGCGCCCAATTTTCGTTTTCCCAGAAGTTTCTCCAATTCTCCTAGGCTCAGACCACACAACGATGCCCCATTCTACGACACTAGCGCCACTGTACCTGCTCCTGGCTGTTTCGGTTGACCTACATCTGAAATGGGCGAGATCTTCGCGATGACGGTCCTTTCCCTTGCGTGAATTGTGAAATCCCACCTAAAGACGATTTCCGGTTCCGCGTCGGCTAGGGTATGGCGATTTTTCACCCCGTTAGCATCGTCACCCAGATCGAATCGGTTGTAACAGGAAATCGCCCCCTCGCCACTGATCGTCTCATTCAATTTTCGCCAGCTTATGGGGACCGTTACCACCCCACATAGCATTTAGCACATAGCATAGCACATGGCACCCCATTTGTGCCTGTCAAGGAGAGCTAGTCGCCATAAGTCTGCCGCCAGCCATTTCTTTGAAATGGTTCCGGTTCGCGGCGCATTTCACATGGAACAGTTGACAGGCATACAATTTTCTCAGAAAGAACAGCTCTGAAATCACTACTTACCAGAAACTTGTTCCCCTTCATACGTTCTTATTTTTCGAGACGGGTGATGCATCCCCGTCAGTAGCATTCCTACGCACCGCTGCCCTTTTGGCGCATGTGACCTGCCATTACCACCCGTCGTCACCAACACCCCGTCCCGTTACGTCGCCAAAGAGAAATGCCGTCGTGGAGGAAGTTTTGCTTATCGCCGCTTTCAATCAGCCAACTCGATCTTTTCACTGCTTTCCACCCGAAGCCAGTAGATGCGTCGTTGGCTACGTGAGGTGAGGTGGAGGTGGAGGGGTGGGTCTGTCCGAGCGCATGTCGACTAGACAGCATAATAGTTTGCCCTCATTTCATCCGTGGTTCGCCTTTCAAGGTCTTCCCTCCCAACCGTCATAGCGGCCGCTGTGTGACTCCCACGCACATCACACGTTCCATTCCCGATCACGTTCAGTTTACGAACTGCACTCAGTTGAGTTGCCGATTTCCATACGGACGCTCCTAAACTGGATCCCCGGGCATATTCATTTTTCTTGTGTTCAATGTAGCTCGATTTCGATCCACATTCTTCGCCAAATTGGAATTCGAACGCAAATCGATTCGATTTCCCAGCAAAGCTTCAACAGCCGGCGATGCTCGTTCATTTTATTGCGTCATTTTGATAAATTGCCTACTTAAAACATTCATATTCTCGTTATTTCATCATTTCATGAAGCGGATCTCATCGATCGATCATCCTCTCCTTACCTTTCGGGCCTTGTTTTAGGCTACCCAATGCTATAGGCCTTAGCGTGCGTTGTAGAGCCTTAAAAAGTCCTAACAGGCCTAAGAAGAAAGTCCCACATTCTCTTCCATTTCGCCCCCACAAGAATATGTAGATTAGATGTTCGCAGACGAGTGGCGACACCCCGCTGGCCCAACAATTCTGCCAGCACTTTTCTTAGTTATCCCTAGTTGGAACCAGGGTCAATCCTACCTTTGGGACTTTTCGCAAAATTCCGA